AATTATTATATTCTCAAATTTTCGGGAAAATGAATTGGGTCGTGTTGAATATTGATTTGTAATAATCAATAAAATAACGAAACAATTTACTCACGTATACGTATCCCAGGCAGCTGAAAATCGTGTATGTATAAAAATTCTTAATTTAAGATGACAGGCGTAACAGCATACTTGAGAGTCAAACAGAGAAACTGTAAACAAAACGACCATCGGTTTTATTGCTTCGACTTCCGCTTATTATATAAAACATTGGGTTTTATTTTAATTCTTGACGGTGAAATTCAAAAGTGGTTGATTATAAACATGTCTATTTCACATTCGCGGAACCAAGTGAACGCATAAAACAAATGCAGGTCTGTAATGTTAAAGTCGATGTAAATAAGCATGCTACCCTTATGTTTCAACCGAGTTTTTCCTTTAACAAATTTTTTGTCTACCAAATTGGGTTGGTTGGGGTGTAATACTAATAATAAGTGTTGCCTTTAATTTAATCAATAAAATAAATTGACTTCATTAATTTTTTTGAAGCACCTCTTAAGAAAATCTAAAAAATATGAATGGAATGATAAATCACACAAGTACAAACTCATCATATTTTTTGCATTTTAGATAGGATTTATTCAGCAAAATTTAAGGGTGACGTCATCAATTTTTTTAGGAGGGATGAACAAATACATTTTGAACAAAAGTTTACCATGCTTATAATAACTTTAGAATATTCCCAAGATTTCAAAGCATTCGGTTTTGTAATTCCTGATTAAATCGATAAAATAAATTCACGCCTTCATTATTTTTTTTGAGTCACCCTGCATATGCAAATCCAAAAATATGAATGGAATGATAAATCACAAGACTCATCATATTTTGTACATTTTAGATACGATTTATTCGGCAAACTTTTGAGCTGACGTCATCAAGTTTTTGGAGGGGATAAGCAAATATATTTTGACTAAACATTTATTATGCTCTTTATAACCTTAAAACATCTGCAAGATGTCAGAGCATTCCGTTTTGTAGTTCCTGATTAAATCAATAAAATATATTTGCGCATTCATTAATTTTTTTGAGTCACTCTGTATATGCAAATCCAAAAAATATGAATGGAGTGATAAATGACAAGTACAGGCTCATCATATTTTGTACATTTTAGATATGATTTATTCGGCAAACTTTCGAGCTGACGTCATCAAGTTTTTGGAGGGGATAAGCAAATATATTTTGACTAAACATTTATTATGCTCTTTATGACCTTAAAACATCTGCAAGATTTCAGAGCATTCGGTTTTGTAGTTCCTGATTAAATCAATAAAATATATTTACGCATTCATTAATTTTTTTGAGTCACCCTGTATATGCAAATCCAAAAAATATGAATGGAGTGATAGATCACAAGTACAGACTCATCATATTTTGTACATTTTAGATATGATTTATTCCACAAACTTTTGAGCTGACGTCATCAAGTTTTTGGAGGGGATAAGCAAATATTTTTTGACTAAAGATTTATGATGCTCTTTATAGCCTTAAAACATCTGCAACATTTCAAAGCATTCTGGTTAGCAGATTAAAAATTAAATTTCAAAATGTTGTTTTATAATTTTGATTTTTTTTCCAAAAATCTGGACGTTTCGGGTGAAAAGTCGATTCAGAGTTGTAAACTACATGTGTAGGACTATGTTATTTTATACAATTGAAAACCCATTTACTATGTACAATTTTGAAGTGACGTCATCGCTTTAGTGGTGGGGATGATTAGACAAATTTTGGTTAGCGTTTTACCATCTACATGATATTCTTAATATAAGTACAAAATTTCACAACAATCGGTCGAGTACTTTCGGAGATTATCTGTCTAATAAAAATCCGGGACAACAGACGGACAGACGGACAGACGGACAGACGGACAGACGGACAGACGGACGGACAGACGGACAGACGGACAGACGGACAGACAGTCGGAAATGGGAGACCTATTTCTTCGTCTTCTAGGGGTCATGAAAGATCGAGAAAACGTAAAAGTAGAGAGTCGGCCGACGGACTCGATTACAATACTTCCTTTGCTTACGCTCGGGAAGTAATTGCTTACGCTCGGGAAGTAAAAATACAACAGTTTATTGAGAAATTATTTTATCTTTTTACATATCCAAACGAAATACTTTTTCCAAAAGCAAATGTGCTGTTTTCGTTGTATTTATACGTATACTTCTATTAGAAACGCTGAAGCCAGGATAGTTATCGGTGGACGATACTCTTGAGGACTTTTGACTTAACTTACTTAATAAACTACAGCAAACGTTGATGTAAATTTTTCTTCCAGTTCCTTATTTCATGTGCATAAAACGTAAGAATCAGATAGATCTTTGTCAATAGAGGCTCAAGCATCAACCACCCCCTGATTTCGGCGCATACGACCTTCACGTAGCAAATGCACCAATCTCCAACACAAAGATGGCATTAGCATCATCATCCATTTGTTTCCATTTGGTTGCTTAGCAGTGTGACGGGGAACCCCTGCAGGGATGCTGCTTTGTGCGCTTTATGGAAAGGAGAAATACGTACTGTTACATTACTTATCTTTTCAAGGTTTCCTCTAGAACGAATGGATTCGGTCAAAAATAATGGAGTGTCCTTTAGTTCCAGGCGGCAGGAAAGTTTTTCACGTTATTATGGGTTTGAAACTTTTCACACTGTGACGGTTTCTTTCTGTAGAGAAATGTTGAAGGCGAAACGACCCATTTACTTTAGGGAATGTTGATGAATAATTAATTTTAAATTGTTTTTAGTAAATCTTACGAAACTATTCGTGTAAGTATGTACGTGCACTATTATGCAAGTATTTCAAAAAGTAGTAAACTGTTGAATATGCAATTTTTATTTACCCCTGCCATTATTAAAATAAGGGTTTATTTATTAGAGCTTCAAGCAATCTCCACAGGGGGTGAATATAGAACTGATGGCCGAATATAAGTTTGAAACTAATAAATATACATGGTAGGAGTAATAATTTAAGTGTACCGTGTGTCAATTTTTAGTAGCTGAGCTAGAACCCTTCATATAGCTTATAATGGACCATACTGTACATAAACTGGTTGTTGTGAAATTCAATTAGGGAGCACACTGTAAAAAGTTGTGATGAACGAAAGTATTCATACAAATACGATAAAGATAATAAGAAAATTCGAAATCATCGAAACCATAAAAGATGTAGGTAAAACAGTCCCGAAGTTTCATTTTCCATCAATTATCAAAAGTATATACTTACTTATATTTAAATAGAACACTGTCACTTTTTTTATTCGCTTATTAATTTTAAAACAACCAAAATTTGAAAGACAAAAAGCTGAGCTAATTGGCGAAAAACTGATAAAGACATTTTATGAATGTTATTGCAAAATCAAATTTTTAAAGAAGCGAGATTTGTCGGATTATTCTTCAAGGGCGAGGTAAATTCTATCGAAATAACTTTCGACCAGTTCTTTTGGCTTGTAGCAGTCTTTTTAGCAATGAAAATGAGTTTTAGGAAATAATATAGATATTCCAAGGCAGAAAAAATACCATAAAATACTTCAGTGACCTCACAACTCTGATAATAATCTGAATTTAATACTTCAGAGCAGTTTTACGTATAAATTTAACCTTCCTAACGGTACATATTTGAAAACTAATTGCAACGAAGATGCAGACAAAGTCGTTATTTACGTTACAAGTGCGATAAAAGTACGTTTACCATACTAATGTGAAGTTTGCTCAAAATGACGATTTGTTTAATCACACAAGTACGATAATACATTAGCTCATGTGTAAAATTTTTATCTACGACTAAAGTTGCTTTCAAATCAATCAAATGAAAAAAAAATATTTATGTAGATAAATAAAAACCGAATCTAATTTATTCCACTGTAACTCTATACCTAGCTCAAAAGCCTAGCAAAAAAGAAATTTGTTCCACTGTCGTCGATAAATATTTTAACATAATTATATTCTTTCAGAATAGATAATGTTCATTTAGATAATCTACGCTTTATTATACTACTCTTAAATTAGTTTGTAGAATTATCGCAACGTGTCTAATATGACGTTTATTTACAGTTTCGACCTCCGGTACATGTTAATATGTCTATTTAAAATGTCATTTTGATTAGGAAAATGGAAATTTGGTGTCCAAATGATTTATTTTCAACGACTTTAATCGCTTTAGTTATAGCATTGATTATGTCGGTATATGAAGTTAAAAAAAGCAGAAATATTTATGTGTTCAGTTTTTGCAGAAACGATTGTTTTCTATCTATTTTATTATCAAAACAACAACAATATTATCAATAGAAAAAAATAGCTAATGCATGTAACGGAAAATGTGTAACAGTCGTTCAAAAATTGACAAAACCGGACCCAAAATTTCGAAAAAGTTATTTTCTTAAGCAGCCTAATTTAGACTTACTGTTAAATTGTAAAAGCGTTTTAAATAAATATGATTGCTTAGTTTATAGAATACATTTTAGAAAACAATTGTACCCTAATTTTATTCATCAGTCCGTTCCGGTTCAAGCGAAGAGAATTTTAAGTTGGTGTAGATTAGTGTGACCCAATTAAGAAAAAAATGCAAAGTTGCTATTAAAATTTAATTAATGCAATTTTTTAGAAACTATTTTCCTTTATGTCATCCACAAACAGAGACTGAAGCATCTACAACCTCATCGGTAGGCTTGTGCCAAAATTGTGTCTCAGGATGCAATCAGAGAAATTTATGTGTATTTTATTTGTGGCCACCTTTAGATAAAATAAAGCCATAGTGTCAACTTTTATTTAAAAATTTAATAACATTAGTTAGCCTAAGTTCCGAGAATAATGAGTCCCTTTTTTTCAGGTTCGACATTCACATTGGATCTGTTATCGCTTTATGACAACAAGGTCGAAGTAAGTAATTGCATAATGTTTACATTACATATATAGTTGTTATTCCGTTCTTGCATTTAACGCATGTGTCTGAAAATTTTACTTACCTTACTGTTCTTACTATGCGCAGGGGATAAAAAATCACTGGTAGGGTATCTAATCGTAGGGAATGAATTTCCAACTCGACTAAATTTGTCACAATGTAACACCGTTTTGTTTGTATTTACGTACTATAACCCACTATTGATAACTTGCAAGTCTATATATGCCTAAACTACCCAAAACAACAATGTTGTAGTTAACATAACCTATTTTGTGTTGCGAAATGACCACACTCTACACACTCACTTAACAGTTATTAATAAATCACTAGCCGACGAAACCTTGAACATGGTCTGTATTACAGTGTCAAGTAGAGAAGCGGCTGAACTTAAATGAAGCTCGAATACTTTTACTTTTACACAAAGTAACAGTTAAAAACTTTGAAAACCATATATCATCGACGGAATCCTATACTACACGCCTACATAAGCACGAATACACTGTTCTTAAATCTGTAACTAGATGTCAAACTTTGTCGCTAAATAACTCAAGGTGTATTTGTAATTTTCGTTCGTCATTTACAGCAAGTTCAATAAATCCTAGAACTGACAAAAGGGCCGTCAGCCCAATGATGCTACTTAATCATTTTCAGTATATTTGTCGGCATTAGGCTGAAAATTAATTAAATATTATGTCTTTGTGAAAAGAAACTCAAAGGGTTATTCAGAGACGTCTTCAAATTGAATCATCTCAATCAACTAGATTGGAAAAGGGTTTCCCAGTTGGTAAATTATCCAAAACTAATTAAAAAAAACACACTTTTTGTATTGTTTTAAATACAGTGTTTTTTTTATATTGATAGGCTGTCATTAAGTCAGTATTGTATAAATATAATGACAGATCAGATCACAAAAAGGAATGATCTTTACACCCTAATATAATTTTAAAAATATACAAATCATTTTCAGGAATATCAAATTGTCATAAAATTTTTTCTAAACTTACCTTTGATAGTTTTTATTTATTCTTTGTTATCAACATTGTTTAACGCATTCTTTGCTGCCCACATGTATGCCGTCGAAGGCTAGCTACCCTTTTATACCCTCTGCAGAGTAGCCGACACGTTGGCTAAACTCGTGATTAATTATTCCTCTTTTTTCCGCGAAATAATAATGAAAAATGAGCGCCATGCACCCGAAACGGAAATAAACTGGTTGGAGGGCTTATAAATTTTTTAACTGCTTTCCTGTTTGTTAGTCTGGACTTCATTGAATCGTTTATCAAAACAAAGGGGAAGAGGGATATATAAATAAAATGGAATCCATCCTCGTCCCCTTTTGGTTTTCGCAGATTGCAGACGTCATAAGATTGAATTCAACGAGGTGAAATAAAACAAAGCGGCAATCTCATCGTTGTTATTTCTGTATCAATAAACCCCAAACGGACGATTCGACGGTTCAAAGAAATTCTTTTCGATGGTAGGTAGCCGTCTCGAAACCACTGTTGCTTAACTGGTTGCCTGCACATTAAGAGACATTTTTGGGGGAAATGTTGGCGTCCATCCAACAACCCTTCGCAATGCATTGTTTTGTTTTTGTAACGCTTTGGAAGTGATTTTTACGTAATACGAGGATTTTAATTCGAAGATTTAATTAAAATGATGGCAACGTGTTTTAAGGCAACTCATTAGGTGAATTTAATGGGTTTTTCAGTACTTGTAAATTGATAATTAGAGATGGAAGATGAAAGGGAGTGATAAATTTGGTTTCTGCTTAAAAAACAGTAATGAAGACAAATTAAATAAATTAAGACAGTTCAGTGGATGCGAAATAAAAAAATGTCCGTAGAACAATGTTTAATTAATTAGGTAACCAACAGAAACGAAAACAAATAATTACACCGGAAATCGTAAATCTATGATGGTGCATAACAATGAGGTAGTCGTCGTACTAAATGGAATATTTAATGAGTTATTGTGAAAACAAATGTTTTCCTTTTACACTGTATTGCAGCTACCTGCAAGCTGATCTGACGAGACTAAAAATTATAGATAAGGAGTAATCACTGATTTTAATAATAATTGTATATACTACAGTAATTTAATAGACACTTAAGTAAATCAGTCATACACACGTATGATTGATTTTCTTTATTTGATCTTTGTTAGTTGCAATAACGGCTGCAACCTGTGGGACAGATTGTGAATTCTGCCAATGTCTAATTCCGGTTTCCGTCGATTTGTCTGTTGACGATACATTAAACATTGGCAATTATACCACCAAATACTTAGAAATTTATTATATCACTTAAGCTTGTACTAGGTACTAAAAGTTTAACAAAAATTATTTATTTTTCTAGCAGATTTTACACTTGTGGGAGCAAAAAAACATCTTAACTACGTACATTGAAGGATTGTTCTTTTATTTATTTGCTTTTTCAATTGCTTTTACATAAAGGAATATTTTCAACATTACTTTCCAACTATCCAAACTAATTAATGTAAACCCACCAAAAAGATGGTGTCGTTATTTCAAAAATTATTCAGTCAGCCGTGTTCAACAGCGGTGAACGAACTCCTTCCAGTTTCCAACTTTTTTTAACATGGAATTTTAAAGTATGTAACAAGACGGAAATGACTGTACGATTCTATAAGATGCTACTACGGTGCTCCATCACTGCTGAAACCCGGTCAAAAATTTTTAAAAATTAAACACTGAATATACGTTTCGAATGAAACACTTTCTTTGGAGTAACCGGAAACAGTAAATTAGTATGGGAATCAATAATAATGAAGTCTTAATACATTTTTTGTATCTCCGGCTCGCTGGTTTTCGATACATCTCTAATGGCCAAAAACCAAAAATTGCAAGCCTAATCTAGAGATTTTTTATGATTGTCGATGTCGGTTGGCATCTCCGGTTGTCACTCTTTCACGGATAAGCGAGTTATCTGTTTTTACAGTAAAGCAAAGTTTTGAGCAAAAATACTTTGTCAAATAAGTATAACTGTTTTGTACACCTTATTATTATTATTATTATAGGAATAAATAAAATAAGTAATGCGTGCACTGTAAACGCGAGTCCTGTTATCATTAGGCTGTTAGAGTTGTTTATGTTCCATTTCCATTATTGTGTTGCAAACCTCGCCTTCGGCTCGGTCCCACAAATTCGCTTGTATATATTTATGAAATTCTGATTTCTGGCCTTGTAAAACAAGTAACTATATCTAACAGTGTAAGTTAAATTAAAAAGAAAACTCTCTATTACGATATGTATTGTTCTGAAAAAATAAATGTACACTTCTTACGAAAAAACTGTTAAATGATTATTATTAAAGTAATGAGAAAAGCACATGTTGCCTTTGCAGTAAAACGTGTAAAACAAGAAAACCGTTGACATTTGTAATGACTTGGAATTCCATTTTGCATGACAGGTTTTTATTAGTTTTAGTCCTTTTAATAATGTGTGGACAAACTATTAGCACTATAGTATTTTCTAAAATTGAAAACCCACCAACACTGCATTTTACCTTGAAAATATAACCGACAACACCCCAGCATTAGATTTGAATTTTGTCATGGGAGAAGAAAGATCTGTTACGTTTTTATAACGATGGCAGGCTCAATAGCAGTGTTTTGACGTTTCAAAATGTTTTAAAGAGAGATAATAAACTCAAATTCTACAAACATAAAATAATTGCATTATAATTTGTTTGTACTTGCCTGTTTCGTGATGACACCCTCGATGTTATAAGTTTCAACGATGTAATAGCTATTAACATACCTAGGATGTAAAGAGTGCCATAATCGCCGTAGCCATCCGTTTGAAATCCGAACGTTAGCGAGGATTTTAAGGCGGTTATCGCACCCTTTACATTCGTGGTGCGTTCAAGATTTTATCGGTTTCTGTCATAGTTACTTTTTGTTGTTTATTCAAAAAAAATTTGAGAACAGAATTAAAAAAATGATGGATTTAGGCGACGTATTGCTCGAAAATGTTAAAAATGCAGCCAGTCAAGCATTAAACAGTTTAAATAAAACCGGTAAAGTTACTTGCATGTATTGCTTTTCACATTCATTGCTTTTCAATTCCTTGACAAATGTTGACGATTGACATTTCGGTAAGGTAATATATTACCCTACCGATTTTGCATACAGGATACAGTTATGGCTTTCCCACCAGCCCACTTTTATAAATGTAAACAGGCATTTAATCGACAGAAACCGGTAAAAATATCAAAATCACCACTGGAGGTTTTTTTTATTAGCAACTAAAATCAACAGGTAGTGGTTCTTTAATTTTGGCAAAAACTAGAGCATTAAAAAATAATTCACTTACCTGATTTACAGCTATTCTATTAGACACGGCTATTAAACTAAAAAAAATACTCGCAAATATTAGAAGTTTTTTTTTTCTACTCATTAAGGTTGAAGTTTGTCATTTTCCCATCGCTGGCAGTGGATGAAATTTCATTTCACCCTCTAGTGGAAAAATACTCGGCCGTCTACGATTTTAACGGGTCGTCCAGCCTGAGCGTTTCGCAGCTAGCGAAACGTGTCGCGTATCGCCTGCACGGACCGCACCGTCCGCTTCGCGCGCTTCGAAAATCATGACGCCTAGGCTGGACGACCCGTTAGTGTTTGACGTTTAATACTGCTAGTTTACACAAGTGAAAACAATGAACATGAGTGAGACTGACGAAGTTTCTGAAGAAATTTTGAATGCTGCCAATGCGGCATTTTCGAATCTGATACCCGAAAAGTCTAAAAAGTTTTATGAGCTAACATACCGAAAATTGTTCTATTACAGTTAATGTATTTCAAAAATAAAATACCTACCATAAACAAACATTTATTTCCTAATTTCTTAGAAAAAATAGTATATGCAACTCGCGGATGAAGAAATTTCAACGGCTCGAGTTTCTTTTTCGCACTCGCTCGTTGCACTCGCTCGTGTGAAAAAATCACTCTCGCCGTTGAAATTCAACTTCATCCACTAGTTCCATAATGTACTATTATTCAATTGTTGAAAACCGTTAATATTATTATAGGAAAAAGTGAGGTTAGGTTATAAACCGCATCGTCAGCTGTCATCGATTAAATTTTAGGTAATTCGATGACTTTTTCAATTAAACACCCGACATTTTTTGTACATTCTACTTGGTTTCTTAGCCTAAAATGTGCAATAAAAAAGTTACCAACTGAAAAAAGATCAATCACACTTTGACATCAGCCACTAAAACAATCAAATTTGTTCCCAAAATACGGCTAGATAAAAAAACCTCTTCTTGAGTTTTTGAAAATTTTTCTCAGTGAATTTTTTATGGGATTTACTAAATAAGTATTT